AGCCACATATGTGACATGAGTGTTATATAAATTGAAGAAATAAATAGATATGCACATAAAATTAAATTTACAAAAGACCCGTAGGAGAATTAATATCATAAACTACAGACCTGAACACTTTCCTTTAATATTTATGCAAAGTTGATTTATTATACAAAATGTACACATGTCTGCCCCCCAGCTCTGACCTTTCAGGACTGGGAAATCTGTTTCTTTTACTTTATACTTATCCCTATCTTACCCACTGCCTTCCAGCGCTTACATTTCATTAAGTGCTCTTGGAATTAGTATTAGCCTGGTAATTGCTCCCTTTCCTGAGTTGTTTCTCTGACTCTCAGTCCTGATCAGTTTATAGCAGGGAAAATAGAATTAGTTGCTGTGAGCTGACTGAAGCTAAGCTGCATCTGTGGAAGATTCTTGTGGGTATAAGTTTATACTACTACTTTTCAGCTGTAGTAGCTTCTGTGGCTTTTGACTCACTCCATCTATCTTCACCTCACGTCTTTCATGCATGATTGCACTTTGGTTTTCCAGTGCACTCTCATTTCTCTCTTTCACCAACATCCACACCCTCCACCTTCAGTGTTCCTTTGTTTTCCTGAAGTACAACTGATGCCCTTTGCTCTGTTAAAGTCCCATGAGCACAATCCATAAGGAAGGAAAACTCAGGCCAGCAGTTTCGAGTTGAAAAACAGTTTTTCGTATGTTTATTTTCCACTCTTTACTGTTGGAGGCTTATCTTGTAATTACTGCATTATTGGCACCTATTCTCTCTATTGGCACCTATTCTCTCTTTTGTATAAATATAATTATGGCTATATTTCTCATTTGGTTTGTCTTGCCTTTCCCCTCCCCAGCAAAAACTTTAGATAACAAGTGCTAGAATTAGTCAAATGAGTTCATTGTAGTTTTTTGTTTTTTGAATACAATTCAAATAATGTCAGAAATGTGGAATTTATGTTGTATTAACTATGGCTAATACCAGTACACATTTGAACCATAAGCTGGTTTAGTTATATATAAACTAATAAACTTGATAGTATTAGTGTAATATGTTTGTCTTCCTTTGCAGAGGTTAAGGAGCTACAGTTAATGTTAAATATGGCTGGTCCTATAATGACTGGGACAATTGAATCAACATAGATCACATCAATATTGAGGCTACATTCCTCAAATATGCATCTGACTAAACTTCAGTTACTGGTTTTGACCGAAAATGCCATTAATATTTTGGGCCCCAAATTCTATGAAAAAGTGCTTGTATGTGCCTGTATAATGTTAAGATTAATTAAGAATGACATTAAAAATATGTCTGTATGCTGAGAAGAGCAAGATAGATAGCATAGGGAACGCCTTCTAGGATGTACCCCATTAAGAACTTCATATGCGAAGAGGTTCTTAATGATAATTATGCTGACCTATTATTACTTCTTAATAACAGAAAATGTTTTTAAGGTTTGGCTTTATTAATAGCTTTTTCTTTTGTACTACCTCCCCAAAATGGCTCAAGATGGAAAATTTAAACCATAAACACATAAAAACAAGACAGCTTTGTTGATCATGGTAAAGATCACATTTAAATTATTTCATATGAGCTATATATTATTAAAAGCCAGTACTTCTATATCATGTCAAAAAAACTGTATTAATGTCATCAAGTAGTTACCTGGAGAAAACTCAGGGTAGTTTTATTGTACAATAGAAGGCAGCACTTAGCTAACTTCGTTGATCTTGAAAAGCTAGGAAAGATTTGATCTGGCTAGTACATAAAGAAAAAGTATTAAATATCGAGAAAAACCATGCCAGTGGGTTAGACTGAAATATATATACTGTCTTGTTGACCATCAGAATTATTAGGATTCTGAAAAAAGACACTTAGGAGGAATTAGTACCGGTAATATTTAGCCTGGAAAAGAGAAGACTGCATGGATATATGCCAACTGTTTTCAAGTATGTTAAACTCTGCCATGTTGAAATTGTACAAAATTGCTTCCAATGTTTCTAGAAGTTGGTACAAGAATTAGTTGAAATTATATAGTAGATTATGGTTGTTTATAAGTAAAAATACAAATCTAATTGCTGTTCAACAATGGAAAAGATTTCATTAGGATGTGAAGATTCTCCTTGAATGGAACTCTTGAACTGATCTAAATAAGTAGTTGCTGTGAAACTTGTAATTGAGAAATCATTAGGTTTTTTTGCCTACAGATCTTGTTCCATCTCATTATTTATATACATACTTCACAACAGTAGCTTAAAATTCCATATTAAGAAAGAAATATTCATTAAGATGTGCAATATTTTACACTGTTTCCTTTATGGGATCTGAATTTCATGAGCACCAATTACAATAAACATCAATTGTTTTAAGTAGGCAAAAAATCTGTATGGGTGTGATTGCCATGGCAGCATGGAATTTAAGACTGTGTAGTATAATAATGTGGCAGAATCTCAAGAATCTTGCCTTTTATTCAAAAAAATATTGAAATTTTTCGAGATAAACGATTCAACAAGTTGAATTCTAATTTAAACCTATTACACTCCATAAAATACTTGGTACAGCTTATATATATTAATATATTTTCCTACATGCCATCTTTTTGACAGATATATAATTGTTCAAACAACTACATTTAAAAGGCAAGCTAATTTGTCTTCTTACTTCAGAGAACAACATTAAAATGCCTTTGTGTGCGTGCGCGCGTGCATATGAATTAAAACAAAAGAATTAAATAGCAGATTCCTTGCATAAAAATCTGTTTTTATTAACTATATTTGTTACAAATATCTGGTAGCGGTGGTGTGAAGCCTGCTAAATGTTATACTAGTAAATTGGAGTGTAGTCTTACAGATTATATTTTATGTTTTTAGTAGTTTTTATTGCTGTAGTGTGTTTTAATAGTTTTTGTTGTATGATCATGGTCTTTCTTTTATAGTGCATTTTCTGTTTTAACTTTGGTAGCTGTAAGCATCACATATGGCTAGATAAATTAAAAAACAAACTAATAAAAGTACATTGCTGAAGCAAATTGATTTTCAATCATTTAAATGTTGATGATTTGATTGTTGATTGTACCCTATGACTATCATTAAGTGTTGTACATTATGATTCTTGATTCTTAATGAATGTACCTTTTCTTTATGTATACTGAGAGTATTTACACCAAGACAAATTCCTTGTGTGTCCAATCACACTTGGCCAATAAAGTATTCTATTCTATTCTATTAAAAAATTCAAATAAAGCAGTAACCCAAAAAACAATAGTAGCACATAAAGTCTTAATTATGGCTCCACTTAGGTAGCAGCAACAATTAAGGCCCTACTTCCATTTGATGACCTTTTCAAGGTTGTTCCAAAGGAGGAGGCTGCAAATGAACACCTCTAGTAATCAGCTGCCCTCTCACCTCACATTTGTGACAAAACTTTAACATCCCCACTTACAATGAGGGTGGAACAGAGACAATTTCTCCATGGAAGATCGATCCTTAATGTTCTTAGGAGACAATCATGTGGGGCTTTTCTGATTTGCATCAAAAGCTTTACTATAAACCAATGCTTTACTATAAACCCACAACTCTAGTGTTATATGGTTGTCGCAGCTTTCACCTGGTAGCTACAACTGGCTGCATTTTTTAATAAGTGTATCATAAGGCTCGGTGCCTAATCTACTGAGATTGTATACTACAAATATAGTTAGGTGATATAGACAGAACAGAATATTTGTTGCTCAGGATTGAACTGGGAAGTCCTTGATGGTCTTTGACCTTGGCTCTTTTCTTGCATATATTTCATTACTAAAGTAGATACGATGTTTCCCTGAAAATAAGATCTAACTGGAAAATAAGCCCTAGCATAATTTTTCAGGATGCTCATAATATGAGCCCTACCCTAAAAATAAACCCCAGTTAAGATTGTCAGCCAGGTGGATGCATTTACTGTATTTCCACAAAATAAGATCTCATCAGAAAATAAGCCCTAATGTGTCTTGGAGCAAAAATTAATATAAGACCTGGTTTTATTCTTGGGGAACATTATCAATGCTACATGGTAGTGGTGATTGCTTTCATTCTGTGACTTGTCAGTGTTGGTGGGGTGGTCATGATGCCCCTTGATTGGGATCAAGGAGTCATCAAGAGAAATCCTGCCAACATTGACAGGGCAACATTGTCAGGGCAAGCCACTGTATATTAGAGAAAGATTCATTCTCTAGCCTCACCATTTTAAAGAAATACTCATTCTCAAAAAGACATTTAACGCAGTTGTGGTTTGCACATACACTATAGGATATACTTAAGGATACTTCATATAACTTCCACATTATGTGTCCCTTCTGAGCAGCTGACCTCTGATGAATTGTGAATGTTAAAAACATGTGATTATGAGCCAGAGAACAATTTATGGGGGAAGTAATGAACAAGTTCTTAATATAGCCAAACTGAATTTGTAGTATCATCAGATAATTACAAGTGATGCTTTTAGTCAATAGAAGGGCTTTTAACATGTATTTTTATTAATGCATTTTTCCCATCAATCGTGTCCAATTCTCAGAGATTGCCTTGACAAGTCTTTGCAGTTTACTTGGCAAAGTTTTTCAGAAGTGCATTGCCTACTTCCTAGGTCTAATACAGCTGCTTTGTGCCTAAGGCAGGACTTGAATTCATGGTATTCCAGTTTCTAGCCCAATACCTTGACCACTACATCAGATTTGCTGTATATTTCATATATAATTACATACTTCACACAATGAAAATTTCTGTTCCATTTATGCCCTGATGGAACTTCTATAGATTATTGAATATACAGATATTAAGTATAAATTAAGGTGTATATTATGTCTAGAGAGCTGCAAAAGTTACTGAACAGTAAATAACAGTGCTAAATGTTTTTATTTCGCCCACTTTGCCCCCATTCACACCTATATACAAGATTATATCCTTTATATTCTCTTTTATTGAATTGAAAATCACTATTGTGCATTTTCTTTCTTTTTTCTTTTTAGATCTTTCAGCTGCCCAAAGAAAGTTTGCTCGTTCACTGAGAGATTTCAGGTTTGAATGTATTGGTGATGCTGAAACAGATGATGAAAGATGCATAGGTATGTCAGTATAATAAAATTTATACAGGTAGGTCATGTTTAACAACTAATCATTTATCAGCCTTCTGAAATTTCAACAGATCCCCCAAAAGCTTCTTATGACCTGGTTCCAGAGTTCCTATGGTTACACACAGACACACATATACTATAACTATATGACTGCATTGTGAGGGCCTGTATTCTGTGGTCACATGACCATGGTTTACAATTTGTTTTTGCCAGTTTCTGACCTTCTTGGCTTATTTCTAGCAGAAAAAACATGCATAGGAATATGTGGATTTGCTTAACAATTATGGTGTTTGCTTAACAACTGTGGGGCTTGCTTTCTGACCTTGGCACTTGTTTAACAACCACTGCAAAAGAAAACATAAAATCAGGTCACTTGGATACCTTTACTTATGAATGTCGTGACTTATAACAGAAAATCCTGGCTTCATTATGTTTGTAAGTGGAGGACTACCTATATGAAATGTCAAGTTTTATTTTTTTCTATTTTATTTGTTGCATACTGTGTCTGATATTTATTCCTGTTACAGATGCATCCCTTCATGAATTCTCTAACTTTCTGAAAAATTTAGAAGAACAAAGAGAAATAATGGTGAGTTCTATTTGATAAAATATAGCAGTATGTCATCTGTCAGTTCTGTTGTCTGAATATTTCTTATTAGTTTTCAAACTCCAAAAGTTTCTTATATATCCATTTGAGCCTCTTGAAGAAAATCTTTTAATTTACCCTAATTTTTCTAAAAGTTTCAATATATAAAAATACTTGGCCAAGCTTGTCTGCATTTAGAAATCAAGAAGGATTGGGCTTTTGGCTAGATAGGAGAACTCCAGGGTATATCAGGGTATGTCAGGTATATCTACGCATTCTTTGAACTCAAAAGGTCGTACTTTAGGGTCGTACTCAGTAAGTATCATTGGTAGTTTTTTTGTACTTTAACCTGAAGTTCCCCAATCAATATCGTCTCCAGGTCTGAGATTACTGTTCCTATCATTCCATAGCCAGTCTTGTGTTGGTTTCTATAGACTCCTACCTAAGCAAGGAAAACATTTGAAGAAAGTTTGAAGCAGGTAATCCTTGAAAATTGGTGTCCTCCAAATCTAATCTAACTGGGAACGTTGGACTGATTTACCAACCTTTTTCCTTTACAGAAAGTACAGATTAGAAATTCATATTGCATTTTCTCATTAATGAAAATATTTTTAGCACTTCACTGCAACATTCAAAATAAGTTTTAGTAAGATGACAGGTGATTCATTGGGAGTTTCTGTCGATCTAAAGCTGCTGTTTCATTTCATGATTTCTTGATGTGTTATTCCTGACAAAAACGTCTCTCTTATGGAAACATATACACCCAAATGCTTGGAAAGTATTCTTAAACACACTTGGAATAAAGGAAGAAATGTGAAATTTTGTTTTGAGATGAACTCTTCCAATGCAAATGTATACTTTTTGTAAGATCGCAAATTGTTTGATAAAATGTAAAGAGGAATCCTTTCTCCCCTGTTTCCATTTGGTAATATTCCATGCAACTGGGAAAATGTAATTGCTGTCTTATACACATTTAGATAAAAGTAATCCACGTTTTCTTCTTACAGTACTTCCAGCATTTGGCATTTCTCAGAGAAACTAAGCAGGATCAGACTAAAGACTAACATGGATTTTGGGGAGAGGGGGGAAATTCTCACAAAAAGTAGTGGCAAATTACTTCTTTATGTTGTAACCTTTGCCTCCCACCAAATCTTGGCTATTTTGGTTTGGTCACTGAGATGAGCTAAATTTGTGAGACTCTTTTTTTAAAAAAGATTAGAATTATGACAAGTCTTCCTAAAAACATTCAGAAAGAAATCTACAGTATAACCAGTTGTAAAAAAATTGAGGCAAGGTTCATCTTCAAAGCAGAAAACCCTACATCTATTTCCAAGTGTTATAGAATCCTTCAGACAATAATAAATATGCCTCAGCAATGTGAAAGTTTACTTCATTCTTTAAATCTATTACGTTGCTCTCTAGGTGCAAGTAAGGCTTTCTATATTTAACCATAGAGATTAAAGTTTTTGCATAATTTTTACCATCATCATACCCCCAAATGTAACAATTGTCAATAAGTCAGGGAATAAACTCTGGATAGTGGATGTTGTAATACTTAGACATAGCAGAATAGAAGAGACGATGCAAAATACAAAAGGTCTACCAATAGAAGAAGTGACTGTGTCAAAAGAAAGCAAAGATAGTGATAGGTGCTTTGGCTGTACTCCCAAAACATCTGGAATGCCACTTGAATATTTTCAGTTTTGGGCATGGCTTGGTGGGTATGGCATGGTAGGCATGGCAGGGGAAGGATATTGTAAAATCTCTATGCCCACCCAACTCCTGGGGGAAGGTTACTGCAAAATCCCATATCTCTCCCCACCCCACTAACCTGCTTTCCAGCTCCGTTCTCCTGTGCAGGGCAACAAAAGAAGACCCAGCCGATCAGCTGGGACTCGGGAGGCAGAGAATAGATGGGGGCGGGGCCAGTCAGAGGTGGGATTTGCTGGTTCTCTGAACTACTCAAAATTTCTGCTACCGGTTCTTCAGAACTAGATAGAACCTGCTGTATACCACTTCTGTGCCTACCCCAGGTTCTTGGGAAGAAGGAGGATAGATGAATGAAAATGCCGAACCCAGACTATAAACATCTGGCTGATGTTTATTACACTTATTAAATTTATATGCCATCCAACTTAATAACTTTGGGTGCCTCAATGATCAAACAAAGAATTACAATGAAGTAAGAAAATGTAAAAGATAGAGATACAATATGGCAACTGCCTGAAATAAAAACTTGATGAAAAGCCATATCTTTGTGAGTTTTCTAAAAAAACAGCATCTGGAATTGGCAGTAAATGTCATTCCAGAGGTGCAGTTGTGCCTCATTGTAAGTAATTAAGCAAAATATGTTCTGATGCACTTTGATATATACCCTAATACATCATTGTCAAAAAAAGTTATTAGAACATAGGAAAGTATACCCTAGCCAAAACTATTTGAAGTCTGTTATATTTCTATGTGAGACAAATTTACAACTGATAATAATTAATATAATTATGATAATAATTTTCATACATGTATGCTGCTTTTCTTGTGTCAGTGATAGCTTATTAATAGAAGTTGGTGTGGATTTATTTTTAAAACATATTTTCATTTGGAAAACACAGTATAATATTTTCTACCTACTGTAAAATAATCATAACTATACTTGCATTTATTATTTTCTTCATTGAAAGGCCCTAAGTGTAACTGAAACTCTTATCAAGCCTCTGGAAAAATTCAGAAAAGAACAACTTGGAGCAGTAAAGGTTTGTTAATAACTTTTGCTTTTGTAGCTTCATTTCCATTTTATCTGTTTTGTTTTGCAAGTGAAATGGTAAAAGAAAAAGTTGGAGATTATGGTTTCTTCAGTTCTTTATAGATACATGCGTATTAAGTTCAGTTAATATTTAACTAAAGATTTTGTATATTCTTACTTAGAAATAGCACTTAGACTAATGTACCACTCCACAGTGCTTTACAGCACTCTCTGAGTGGTTTACAGAGTAAGCATACTGGCTCCAACAATCTGGGTCTTCATTTTTTTGACCTCAGAAGAATGCAAGGCAGAGCCATCAGGATCAAATTTCTGGCTGTGGGCAGAGTTAGCCTGCAATACTGCATTCTAAACACTGTGTCACCACAGCTCTGAATTTTTGCTTTTCCATTCAGAACTGCAAACTTGCCCAGACTATTAATTAAGGCCTATGAGGTGATTTCAAAAAATTGATAGCTTCTCTGAGTGCTGTTGTGTTTCATATTATACACAAAAATTGAATATAGGAGCTTTGATATAAACTGCAGTATTCCTGTAAATCAGAATTTCATTTTTATAAAAACATGTATATATAATAATACATTTGTGATGTTAAAAATGACAAAAACCAACCAGTTTATAAAGTTTATGTTTCTTTTATCTTTCCATTTAAAATGTTTTAGGAAGAAAAAAAGCGGTTCGATAAAGAAACAGAAAAGAACTATAGTTCACTGGAGAAACATTTAAACATGTCAGCTAAGAAGAAAGAAGCACAAATATTGGAGGTATCATTTATACTATATTGTCAAACCTCTATCTGTTGTAAGCATTTGCAATAATAATTCTTTTGAAAATAAGTTGCTAGCAGCAATTTTTCCATTCCGAGTTGGAAGCAGAGAATCAATAGCTGAAACCTGGGACTTTCTATTGATAATATATATTATTTATTTTATACATAATAAACACAATTAAGCCCCAAATGTAGAAGATGACCAGGCAGAGCCCATGGTAGAGTCAAATGCATTATATGTTTGGAATCATTACATTCCCAAAAGAGACCCAAGTTGACCCCACCGCATGAATTCTATTAACCCTTATATAGTGCCAATTTGGCTTGATTGTTGCTAGATCAGATTCTTGTGTCTAGGTAGCATGAAATATTTTTTTTAGTGCTTTGAACTCTACTTCTGTTATTGGTTCCTTGCCCATAACAGCTATCAGTGCTTAGATTATATAAGTGTATTTTCCAGGTTTCAAAATGCAAGTATATTAGATTGCTGTTTTTGATTATATGTCATTCATTAAAATTTATTGTGTGAATGCAGATTATGCATTTGAATAAAATGAAATATGAGGTCTGAGTCAATTTTTGGTGAAAACTGCATCTTTTAATGAGCTTGTTTCAATGCTTTACAATTATTTGCTTTAATTCATTGAGAAAAACAAAAATAGTTAAAGCCTAATAACTTTCCTTTCTGTTAATTTGTTGGTTTCCTCTCATTTGCTGTAATAAATTTTAGAGAATCTTAACTTTTTTGCCACCTCCTTTGACCATAAAGTTTGGTGTGTATACTTACTTTTAAATTAATGCAAATGATTTTGTGTTAGATTGTGATATTTGACATAAGTTTCTGTATAGAAAATCTGAATCTTAAAAAAGCAAAACTATGTTTTTTTTATGCAGGCAGACAACCAAATAGAGCAAAACAGAAAACATTTCTATGAGTTGTTACTTGTATATGTGTGTAAACTGCAAGAGATACAAGAAAGAAAAAAATTCGAGTTTGTAGAACCTGTAAGTAGAATATTAAAAACATTTCTGAAAGAAAATAAATTTTAGAATAGAAAACAAGTAAAAGTAGATTTAGAAATAAGTAAAAATTTGCATTGTGCTGTACTTTGCTATTTTACTGAAGAACATTTAATTACAGTATTCTGTGAATTATGAATGTACAGATTTTTATTTTTGTGACTAAACAGTGGAATTCTGTGATATGCCATAAAGCCCCATTGAAGGCAGGACTTAATTTATTTAAACTAAGAGGAAAGTAAAAGGAAGTAAAAGAAATACTCCTTTGCCATCTAAATAAAAAGAAAAATCTTATTGTGTTTTTAGGTCCTGTCGTTTTTTCAGGGCATGTTCACATTCTACCATCAAGGTTATGAACTTGCCAAAGATTTTAACCATTACAAAATGGATCTGCAGATCAATATCCAGAATGTAAGTGAAGCCATCCTTCGATTGTAAAATATGTCCATCTTTAACTCTGACCCTGCTACTTCAATTTTGTATTTCTGTAATGCATGATCTGTAATGATTTTCTACAGAACTTTTGAAATGTAATGCCATCTGCAGGTTAATATGCTATATGACTTGTTAAGACTTTCTGTAGTAACCAAATAAATATTTCTGCACATTTTGTATAATTTCACAATTGAAAATAAAAAATGAAATTCTTTTCTGTATTAATTTTTAATAAATAATTTTCCATTATTTTTAAATAAGTTGAAATATATATAAAATAATTTTTTGACAGTTCCATATATTGGGCATTATGTATCAAATTAATTAGAAATTGTAATATAAACTGAAAAATTAAATTTCTATATGGAAGATTGGTATTATAAGCAATTATCTATGATTATGTTCATACTTTTATATGAAATCAAAACTAAAGTTCTGAACAGCCATTAGAAACTTAAATATTAAGACAGCTTTTATATAGTGTATTGTCTTGTATTGTCCTATTTCATTATATTGTATTATATGTTAAGTTAATGTAAATTATTATATAATAATTAATCCAATTTCAGGAGAAATTAGTATTGGTAGCACTGTTATCAATTTGATAGGCTTTCATATGCGAGTTAGACACAACGATGTCTTCAAAATGCATATCATCCACTTTAAATGTCTGTAGATTCTCATTCATCCAGGTCATGGTTGTCCCAGAAGTGTTTTTCTAAAAGGCAACTGGACTTGGATTTTTTTTCCTTTGAAAACATTTCACTTCTCATCCAAGAACTTCTTCAGTTTACGAACTTCAGTTCAGTTCAGTTAGTTGGATGACTTTGGTCTAGGCATTGATTGTCAACCATAGGAAAAAGGCAAAGGAAAACCACTTCCAAAAATGTCAAAAAAAACTTGAATGAATTTCATTAAGCATGAAAGTCTGCTGGGTCAGTCACTTTCTTTCAGTTCAACTCATCTCACAAGGTTGTTATTATAGGGAAAAATAGGAGAAAATAGTAGTAGTATTGAGTTGTTTATAATAGAAGTGGTATATAAATGAAATTTTAAAAAATGCAGTCTCCAGAAATTAAGACAAAAGGTATATATACATACAAAGCCAGATCATTCCCTACCATCTCCAGTTAGTAAGTTTCAGCAACCAGAATGAAACTTTGGAAGAGTTGTAATCTTCCATGTTTCTGTTATCTGGAAAATTGTATTTAATATATTTGTAGCTATATATAATTACAAAGAGATATAAAATACCAGGAAGTTATTAGTTGTTTTGATTTCTTTTTAGAATTACATGCTTATGGTTTTTTACTGTTAAGTTTTAAAATCTTTTCTTGCAGACAAGGAATCGTTTTGAGGGAACAAGATCAGAAGTGGAAGACCTCATGAACAAAATCAAGCAAAATCCCAAAAAACACAAAAGAGCAAATCAGTTTGCAATGGAAGGTTATCTTTATGTGCAGGAAAAAAGTAAGCTACAACAATACGGCCTCCACCAATAGGAAGGCCCAGCATGATTTCTAGGCATGAGCTGAAATTAAGCCCCACCCCCAAAATTTAGGCTTATTTAAACCATGTGTTTCCCCGCCATTTCTCACATCGTTCGTTAGAACTACACGAGGTGAAGAGAAATGGGGGGAAAGGGCGGGGGGGGTAGGGAGAAAACTTGCCTTTAGGAATGCCCTGCAGGTAGCCTAGGCTAGAATACTCTGATCTACCAATAGAACATCAGCCAATAGAAGCTCCCCGAAGGTAGAGTCCCCAGCCGCTTCTGGGCGAGGCGTGGCTGCCCGTGTCCCCTCGCCATTAGGCAGTGTCTTTCAGGCGATGGAAGCTCCCCAAGTGCAGTCACCAGCCACTTCGATTGGCTGGTAGAAGTGGCCTCGGGGCGAGCGCACACACCCCCTCGCCACGAAGCCGCTTCTACTGGCCGATAGATGTGGCTGGTGACTGCACTTGGGGAGCTTCCATCGCCCGAAAGACCCTGCCTAATGGCGAGGAGACACGGGCAGCCATGCCTCGCCCTGAAGCGGCTGGGGACTCTGCCTTCAGGGAGCTTTCATTGGCCGATAGAAGCGGCCTCGCAGTGAGGTACGTGCATATGGGCCGCTCTAGATGGGAGAGGAAATTCAGTCATCCCCGAAAAGACGGCCTAGCTGTCAAAAAAAAAATGAGGCCCAGCCTTTATTTTGTGAGAAACACAGTATTTGTTTAGTTTTATGGTAAGAATTTGTAAAAATACATACAGGCTATTTAGCAATGTTTTTTTCTGCTAAAATTTGAATAAACTGATTACTTATGGGCAAGTCTTACTTAATGACTGTTCTGCTTAGTGAGTTAAAGCTAAGACATACCTGAAAAATTAACTTTATGACTGTTCCTCATATTTACACTCATTGCAGCATTCCCGTGGTTGTGTGATGGAAATGTGGGTGCTTTGTAACCAGTGAGCATTTACAACTGTCATAGCACCCCATAGTCATGTGTTTTCCATTTGTGTACTTCCGAGAAGCACAAGCAGTGGAGCTGGCAGTAAAATCATGAGTCACAGTCTCAATTTATAACCATGTATGATTTGCTTAATGACTGCAGAAGACATGATAGTATAAGTACATCATGGTCACGTGCTGTTTTGCTTAATGCCCTCATAATTTAGCAATGGTGTTGCTAGTTCTATTGTGGTAGTTAAATGAGAACTACCTGAATAAAAGTTTTTTTCTCTTCTCATTTTAATTCCCTACGTTTACTGTATTTCCATATTCTTAGAATAATTTTACATTTTCTATTGTTTTTGCTGTTGTGATTCTGTTAACCAGAATACATACATTGGTTGTATTTATTTATTTGATTTGGATTCATGTGTAAGAATCTGAAAAACATCAGTGTATAACTAACAATTTGAAGTTTTAATTATTACTGTTTTGTGAAGGACCTGCACCATTTGGTTCCAGTTGGATAAAACATTATTGCATGTATAAGAAGGAATCAAAGAAGTTTACTATGTTACCTTTTGAACACAGATCGGGAGGAAAAAGTGTGAGTATATTTCATATCAAAAGAACAGTAAAAGAGGGAAAATACGTTCTATACTGCTTCTATGTGCATTTGACATTTTCTTTTTATAGTTAGATACAATATTAGGAATTACAAATAATAAGCTTGGAGGGTTCTGAAATTCAATTTGGAAAGCTTTAACAAAATGCACATATTTTATCCATAGTAATTCATTATTACCACAGTTATTTAAAAGCTTATTTGTAATAACTTCCTAGTAAGGCACAAAAATTAAATTCCATTGACCATTTTTTTATTACATTCATTTTATTTATTCAAATATACATTACCCTTGCACAATATGTCTTTTTTCAGAAAACCTGTTCATATTAGTGGTTTTCAAGTTCAAAAAACTCTTTGATAACTGTTTGAATGTTAAATATTTGAAATCTGCAGCATTTCAGTGTTCTTACAATATTTATCTTTCCTATGTCCTTTCTAAATTATCAGTATAGCAATAGTATTTAGATTATATACCACTACCAGATCAAACTGCTGACAGTGATCAGAATTAGCCTGCAATACTGCATTCTAACCACTGTGCTGATGTATGCTCATTGTATAGGCTTCTTTCTGTATTAGTAGCAATTAAGGTAGAATGATTTTTGTTGAAAGGATTCTTCCTCTTCTATGCCCAATATCTTAAAAGATCAGTCAGCCAATTTAACTTGACTGTCATATAAGATGATGAGAAACATTTTCTGAAGTACCCCATCTGTTATTCAGTAAATATTCTGTTACCCCTGAGAAATTCATTTGATAATATAGTGAATTCTAGGCATGCATTATATTCAGTTCCAAAAATTCTACAATATTGATGGATGCTTTCATTCTAAACAAATCAAACAATAACAAACTTCTGTTATTAATCACATTTTTCCTGACATTTTTAGTAATAGTCGTATTCGTGTAATTTATTTCAGGGTGAATTGGAAGTCTATCTACTTCAGAACTGTACTAAAAGGAATACTGATTCTATAGATAGGAGATTTTGCTTTGATATGGAAGTACTAGAGAGGTAAGTTGGTCAGGTGTATCTTAATATTACTTTTAAGTGAATTTATTTCAGTTTATTAATTTATTTATTCAATTTATTAAAGGCACCTTAAAATCCATTTAGCAGCCCCGCATAAAGTGCAAGAAATCTAGAAATAAAGCACCCCTAACCAGTTTCTGCTTGAATGTCTACAGTGAGAAAGGGGCCATAATTATTTTATCATAACTTCAACGCACACTGTTTTTATCATATGTCTCTTTGTGGTCAGCCAAAATCTGTGGTCCTGTAAAACAGTATGTTTAATTTTGCCATCTAGAATCAGGATTTTCCATTTTCAGTGTGGCAACAGTTTATACAAGTGAAGAGTATATGATACTTCTCAATCCTCTTTTCCTTGTAAAACCTGTATATGTATCATGTTCTTCATCAGAATTTTTTTTCATACTTCTGATAATCTTGCTAAAAGCTGTAGCACTGAAACCAATAGGAATAATGGAATTCATGTGCACATATGGTAAACAAGGAAATTCACAGTGTTTGCATTAGGGTATGTAAGTAGACTAACTATTCTTATAAACTAAAAGATACCCAATCTGTTTGAAATTTTGAAATGGGGACATGTACAAAATGGCTGTATCTTCTGGAGACTGCAAAGCATCAGACCACTATTTGCTATCTCTTCTAACATAATTCTATCCCTATTTTTGTCATTTTTTTACTAGCTAGATAACATTTTCAAATCATTGGGATGAAAATGCCCATTTTTTTTTACTTTTAAGATACAGTAAAACTTGGACAAGAATATTTATGATTATCATGAGAGATGTGATGTGTACATTGACATTCTTATTTACCACACTAGGGATCCTAATTTTAAACCCTGCATGCTTTTAGTGTAAATTTTTCCTGGGCTTCCATATCATATACCCATTTCACAATTCCTTTTCAAAATAGAAAGTACAGGAAAAAAGTAAGAAATACAAAGCAAAATAAATGAAAGTTAACAGATTAGAGAAAATAAAAATAAATTAAATGTAAATGACACCAGTGTTATTGACATATCCACTTTCATGCCTTTCTGTTCTTTCAAATTATCCTTTGTATTTTTCTTAATTTATATTGCATTTCTATATTTATATTTTCAATAAAAGTTATTATTAAAAACATGTAATAATACTAAATTTACCATTCTGGTCATTCTTTCAGGAAAAATTCCATAACTATTGATGTCTTGTTTTAATGAGCTTCAATAATAACAATAGCAATGGCATTTAGACTTATATACTGCTCCATAGTACTTTATAAGCAGTTTACAGAGTCAGCATATTTCCTTCAACAATTTGGATCCTCCTTTTACTGACCTCAAAAACATGGAAGTATGAGCCAAACTTGAGCCAGTCAAGATTGAACTCCTGGCAGTGGGCAGAGTCAGCCTGAAATACAGCATTCTAAGCACTACACCACTCTGGCTCCTCCTAATCTTTAAGCTTATATATGCTATTGGTCTAAAATGTCTTTTGGAATTGACTTTAATTAACTTTAGTTAAGGCCATCCAGAATTTCAAGTTCAGATATAATGACTTGCTTCATGTATTATGCTAAACCATTGTTTCTAGGTGTGTGTGTGTGTGTGTGTGTGTGTGTGTGTGTGTGCATGTGTGTGTGTGCATGCGCCTGTACATTAGGCTTTGGCTTGTGTGCCTTATTTTCTTTTTCACCTAGCACTATGAACTACTATATTACAATTTCAAAGACATCTGGTAGTTTCAAAGATGTTGCATTTGTAGAGTGTAGTGATGAAAACATTACAATACATGAAAATCAGTGTTCATTCGTCATTTAAATAACTTTAAATACTCTGCTTTTCCAGACCTGGTATGCCTTTCACCCTGCAAGCATTCTCAGAAGAGGACAGGAACATGTGGTTTGAAGCCTTAGATGGGAAGGAAACTGTAAGAGAATTATGATTTTTACACATAAGTAAACATGAAGAGACTTCTAATGCAACACAGACTATATGTATTATTAATTGTATAGTTTGTGTGGCACAACTTACGCATTATGTCTTACATAAAAAACAGAATAGGTCACTTTTAAATACTAATGCATGTATACTGGCATAGAATTTTATGGATCAGTTGCATGGAACTTTCCAATTTAAAGGTATATATGTGCATGTGCTTCTGTTTATCTGCTTTTAAATGTACATATGGAAATATATACAAAAAATACACCTAGGAATAAATGAATGTTCCTTGTAAGAGGAAAAGGTATAATGTATAAATTAGACATAGACTAAAAGTGTGAAAATGTGTTACTGGATTTTCTGAATTAAAAATTTCCAGAACTGTCACAGCATAATTTTGTTATTTCATTTTTGAAGAAAATTATCCTAAAGTAAATTTGTTGGACAACAAAGATTTTGCTTCCAGAATGCTTTTGGGTGTATCTTGCAAAGTTTTGGTTCCTAATAAAGAAAATAACGTGTAATTTAATATATATTGTTTTATAGAAGTGTGTTTTGTACATCTTTCAGTACTTATTGGCTATGCTGCACTAATGAAAGAAACATACAAAAACAACATGGAATTGTTGTTGAATATCCAGTATAACTGGAATATCTATAGATATCTAAAAGTAATGGCTCTCTGCTGCTTGTAATGCAATTTGTATACCAGGTATTGTTGTTACATATGTGTATGGGACAGGCCATGCAAGAGAATTGCATTACATTAAAAAGAAACAGCCACTCTGAAAGAATTTGTTTTCAGGACAGAAAAGCATGGCCCATGGACTACTTGTTGATTTGACATAGATACCTTTGTCACTGCTTCACATAAAACTTGGACTGTTGAAAAGTTTTGTGAAAGCGATTAACAAAGAAAGTGAAGATATTCATTGTTTGAGCAAGAATAACTGATGCCAAAATTGGTGAAAGCAATTTTGCTTGCATATGCCATAGGTCATTAATGACATATCTGTTTGAAGATCTGTTAGTGGGGCCAAAGAAAAGCATCTGAAAAAACATTCAAGGATGTTGTTGACAATTTTCTTAGCAACTATAGAGCATCAAACTACAACCAGCTGATTGACAAACCCTTTCCAGCATATCAGAACATGAAGTGCAACATGTCACTTAATATTCATTTTCTACATTCACACTTGCACTTCTTTCCTGAAAATCTAGTGCAGTCAGTAACAAGAATGGTGAAAGATTTAACCAGGACACTACCACCATGGAAAAATGGTACCAGGGTAACTGGAATCCATCAATGCTGATGGAAACATTAGGCAATTAAATACAACATAGTTAAATTAATCTTTTCATATTTCTCAAGATTCCTGTGTGATACAGTCATTCTGAAATTATATTTGTTTTCAGTTTGAAGGGGTCTATCATAGTCACCAAAAGTTTTTCAGGAAACAAAACTTGAAAAAAATGTCCAGTATCATTAAGTCTTACGATATAAATTGACAGCCTTAATAAGAAGGGTTATCTCAGAAATGTTACTGTTTATGTCTACAGTTTTAAAGAAACACTTCACTCTTGGTCTACATCAAGTATTTGTGTATGTAGAAATACCAAGTATGATATTTATACTGTATTAATTTTCTTTCATTTCTCATAATTAAATTTAACATAATTTAAAAGATATAAATAATGATAATATATCTTGTTGAAGTTCCAGTTTCCTTTTCTGTCCACACATTACCAAATTATACAGTTTAGACATGCAGAAATTAAAATATTATTAACAAATCAGAAGCTCCTTTTCAGTGTGAAAAAAAATTAAATGAAGGAAACAGCATAAAATGTACAAATAATTTTGAAGGATCATCTTTCCTTTGGAAGGAAGGTCGTTAGAATTTAAAAAAAAACCATTAACAAATACATACTACCCCAGGCAACACTACAAAATAAATACAAAAATAGAAGTAAGAGGAGAATGGATTATATAAGGTTCCTTAATATATTGAAATATTGAAAACAGAATGAAGAAAGTATGATAATCAGTAGGGAGGTTCTGTCAGAAGTCTTAAGAATTTAGAAGAGGGATAAGACCTCTCTGGTTTGTAAGGCTAATCCAATTCGTCTTGTCTGTCCAATTCAGAGGACTTCAACAAAGCACAGCCTCTCGTTTATTTGAGAGTGCCTACATCTGCAGTGTTAGCAAAATTAACATCCCAAAAGATGCCATGTAATTGCTGACACTTAAAAGCAGTTATAGATGCCTGAGGAGGGTTTGGATTTTCCTCTGCCTCTAGTGCCATTATTTGGATTATGGAAGGAAATTATGAACCCAGTCCTCTGGCTTGATTCTGATGTAATTTGCATTGGTCAACTATACCATTCAGAACAATGCTTATTTATGCATGTAGAAACAGATGAAAATTAGAAATTCTTAGTTTCAAAGAAATTAACTGACCAAGTAGTATTTTGATTCAATTCTAAACAACTCATTTTTGTCTTTTAAAAGAGTGTGCATTTCTTCCTTACCCAGATGTTTAATTGCTTGTATCTTGAGTACAGTTAGAAGTTTACCTTTCTTTTTGTTTTGTGTTTTGTGTTTTGTTAGGTGTTTCTCAATTTGAACAAGACTAATACACAAAAAGAGGGAAGTAAGTACTAGAGTTAAAACAATCTTCAAATTAAAATTAAATTTTCCAGAATAATTCCTGACTTTATTCTGGATTTTTTTGAAAAATTGTGAGCTGCCCAGATTAGCCACAGATCAGTTGGTTGGCTAAATAAATTTGTTAAACAAACAAATAAACTTTATTCTATCTTGTGTATAAGTAATCCTCGACTTACATCTACAATTGAATCCATAATTTCTGCTGTTAAGCGAGACATTTGGCAGATGAATTTTGCCCCATTTTATGACCTTTCTTGTAAAAGTTGTTAAGTGAATCACTGCAATTGTTAAATTAGTTACATGGTTGTTAAGTGAATCTGGCTTTCCCATTGACTTTGTCAGGAGGTTGTAAAAGGGGATGATCTCCTTATAAGTGTGAGTCAGTTGTCGAGCATCCAAATTTTGATCATGTGACCATGGGGATGCTGCGATGGTTGTAAGTGTGAAAAACGGCCATTAGTCACTTTTTTGTAAGTGTCTTTGTATCTTTGAAAAGAGTTATTAAATGAACTGTTGTAAATTGATGACTACTTACTATTCTAGCTATGAGATAAAAAAATCATTTGAAACAAAATTGTGTTGCAATTTTATTCAATAGTTGCTTCAGGCTGTATTTTAGAAAAAGCTCTGATGCCCCCTTAGTTTGATTCAGAATTGAAATCTAAATGTATCTAAATTTCAGCTCATACTTTTCAGTTTCCACTGAATATCAGTGGAAATGAACAAAGAATCATATTATTGTTGTTGTTTAGTGTAGCAGGATAAAAGTGCAAAATAATACTTTTGGGGGTAAGTGCTATTAATGAAGAATGTTTGTTTTTTATGCATATTTCAACTTTCTTTTCAAAGTAATTTTATTTTGTGACACAATTAGATATAATATAAACAAAAGGAGAAAACAACTGTTTATGTAATAAACCCAATAGCCATATATTGGGTTAATATATATTGCTTTTAAAACCCTTTCCCCACTTCAATGGTAAAATCCCTTCCCCCGCTTTAGTTGTTTGTTTAGCTATAGCTAAAATTTTTTTATATAAGTGATCTTTTATTGTAACATGGAACATATTTCATTAGAGCTGAAATATTTTCAATATTTTGTCTTCTTAGGTGCGCAGCTAGATAAGATTGGATTCACAATTCTCAGAAAATGCATTAGTGCTATTGAAAAAAGAGGTAAAGACAAGAATTCGTGGATTGAACAGAAAGAAATAACCTTTCATCTTGCCCCTAATGAACATTCATGGGGATAAAAACAGAGTGGAAAAGTGGGAACATTCCAACTTCTACTCAGCTTTGCTGTTTCATGAGCATAATCCTTGAGCCCGAATGGTTTTCTTGCTAGGGCCACCTTTTTAAGGTACCAAATAAATCATGAACAGGGAACTTTTCATCTCCATATTTGGGTCTCCATGATCATCTTTATGTTTTACAGTATTCCTACATCTTGCACAAATGTATCTTTCTTTCATTGTCATAGAGAGGAAGGGAGATTAGGTTTCTTTTTTTGCAGCAATCCTGCTCAGTCACAGGACTCTTGGGAGGAAGGAAGAAGTCTTGTAATAATATCCTCTTTTCTCCAGCAATTCTGAACAGGCATGCTGGCAGAGAAAGAATCCAAAGCCATTAGACTCTGTGTGTGTGTGTGTGTGTGTGTGTGTGTGTGTGTGTGTGTGTAATCTGGCTCCCCGCTTCTTCTCAGCAACGTTGTTTGCAGATCATACTTTTCTCTTTTCAAAAAAGAAACTTAACAGAGTTGCTGACTTACACACATATTTTATACAGATATTTTATACAACTGGAACAGAACATTTATCTTGTTACTGTTACTGTCTGTGTATCACAATAAAGGAAGTCACGTTGTCCACCTATGAAATGAACACAAAACGTATGAAAAGATGACTTGGGAAAGGGACAAAATAGCGTTTTGCAGAATTGCACATAGCATTCTAATATATTCCTCTTCTGAGAATTCATACTTCACTTCCCATATATTCATTTTAATGTCTTTCCTGCATTTTCTTCACTTGTTATAATAATTCATTGCTGGAAAGATAGATGGCAGCAGTAAGCTATTATTCCTTGAGATCTACTACAGCAAGATTTGCACAAGTGAGGAATTGAAAGGACTATAATAAAAATCTTGAAACTGCTTTTCAAAATAGCTCTACAAGACTACTAAGGTCTGTCATAGGCATTAAAATATTCATTCTACAAAATATGTTCAGAATAAGAATTGAGTTTTTATGAATTCTAGGACTATAGTTTGTATCTTATCAACCATGGGTAAATTAGGTTTAAGTCTAATAACATCTGAATAGCTATAGCTTGATTTTGCTGCTTTAGTATATTTTAGTTGATCTCCCAAATCATATTCACATATAAGCTTTACACCTAGGAAATGTCAGTAATATTTGGGAGCATACAAGATGCTTTAAATAACAAATAATATTAGATTGATGTGATCAAACCAAAATCTTTAATATATTGTTGCTTTTTTTTACAATGTTTTATTTTTTTCAAAAGATTAAACTGCAAAACCAAAATAATAATAATTGAACAGAAACAAAAGAGTTAGACAAAAATATTTAAAAAGTGATATATGTAAATTAAAATAAAAGAAAAAACATGTATTTTCTATTACCTATTATTGCGTATTTTCACTAAGAATTCTGACTATCATCAGGTCACTAGTTAACTTGTTAGTATTCAATCTTTTTACCATATCTTCATATTTTCAAATGGCTGAAGCTGTGATATACTGAGATTCTCAGACAAAGTAGATGGGATAATGTCAACAATACCTTCTCAATTGCTTACCAATACCTGAGTGATGGTAAGTAATGGATCGTGTCCAGGGTATTGCAGTGGAAATCACTATAAATTAAGAATTTATATGAAAGTACCAGTTGTTCTCCTAAGGGAAACAATGTAACACTAGCACCTACCCCAGGACAAAGGAAAAAGAAGAACTTTGATGTTTTCATTGACTTAGGAGAAGTAGAAGTTTTGTCCCTTTAAGAGTAGAATATGTTAGTGGGAATAACAGCAGATAATAATGGACAATTGTATTAATAGCTAGAGGTTTTGGTGACTAAAATGGTGCTTTAGCATGTAATAGCTTGAAGGATTAAGTGTTTTTGGGCGGGAGCTAGGAAAGGCAAAGGGAGGTAATACAGTAAGAAAATTGTTATCCCTGCAGTAGTTAAGCTATCTTACCATGTGTTAATCATTTGTGTTTGCTGGACTGCCTCCCAACCAGCAGTATACTGTATTTTCTGGGAAAGTCTCCAAGGATTTAATTTTGCTTGTTTTCAGTTGCCTAGATTCTGGGAAGGATAAACAAAGTAATACTTTTTGCTGTTAGTCTTAACTGCATTGAATTGTTAGAAAAGGAAAAGGCAGAAATAATATATTTTACAGAAACATCATGAAGAAATGAAGCATACAAGTTTCAGCTACTTTAGACAAACAGATGTTTGGAAATCTCATTGCATTATGTTGGAAAAAATTATAGCTGCCACCAAATATTTTTATAGTTCAGTTCTGTAGAACAGACGGTGTCATCCTTTTAAGTCAGGGGTCTCCAACCTTGGCAACTTTAAGCCGGGAGGACTTTAACACCCAGAATTCCCCAGCCAGCTTTGCTGGGAGTTGAAATCTACCAGGCTTAAGGTTGCCAAAGTTGGAAACCCCTGTTTTAAGTGACAAGGGCTTCACTTATACTTTGACTGTGAAGATAGAAGGCTGCAAAGTAGTGGGAGGAAAACATGGGTGAAACTGGGATTTGGAGGACATTTTATTTTCAAGAGCTGTGGTAGTGCAGTGATTAGAATGCAATATTGCAGATAATTCTACCAACTGTTAGCAGTTTGATTCTGACCAGCTCAAGATTGACTCAGCTTCCATCCTTCCAAGTTCAGTAAAATGAAAACCCGGATTGTTGGGGGCCATATGTTGACTGTAAACTGCTTAGAAAGGACAGTAAAGCGCTGTGAAGTGGTATATAAGCCTAAGTGCTACTGCTATTATAATTATTCTTTTAAAGATGATACTTTTTAAAATGTCAGGAAAATATGTGTTCAGTTGTCAATAGTTCTGCTCAGAAAAGGTTTTGCAGGCTAAAAGGACATTATGTGAACTGGGCTGTAAGTGGTCCCCCTGCTGTACAAGATTTGGTTGGCAAGTCCATTTAGTGCAGCCCATGCACTTATTCCTCCTTCCTCCTATTTATTAGGCATATAGATTCATTAGGGTGCTCCAAGGATAGTGTTGGTTTTCTGTTCGTTTTAGGTTTATGTGCCTGGAAAATGAACTGCTTTGGAAATAAAGCTTACTTTTATCTTTCTAAATATAGCAAAGATTTCTGTTGCCACAACCAAATCTCTAGCAAAGAACTCATTGATTTTGAAAGGACAGAAAGCTTCACAGTAACATGTTTCATAAATTTCCACAAACAAAAACAATTAAGATTTATATGATCAAATAATTTATTTTAATAACTCTGAGAAGTGTTAACTATTTTTTCTATTATCTATTAAAATAAACCATGTTTTATGTACAAGAAATTAAAATTTGTTAAATTCCCTGATAATTGTATTTTAAGAGTGTTAAATTATTTTGCACACCTCAGGATTAGTGTGATTTTTAGCTTGATCCATATTATTATTTTCTTTTGTCTTTACTGTTAGCAATTCAGGAAATACATATCCTGAAAACATACAGATTTATTATATTTTCTAACCGTTTCTTGGAACTGTTAGGATTGTGTCATAGAAAAATAATTAGAAATTATGAGATCTTTGTCACTATTAGCAGTTCCATGTTATAAAACTAGGTATACTAACTGAAAAAACTGAAAATATAAATACTGCAATTTATATAACTGGTTGAAAAGAGGAGAGCATAGATAATTGCTGTGGCAATACCAAGGGATAGTAGAACGGAAGACCAAATGTTGCAGAAGATCACAAAGATCAATATCTAAAAACTGAAGTTGAAAGATTATGGCATAAATTGGCCATGGTGGTCGCAGTAGTTATTGGCACACTGGATACCATACCAAATTTTTTTGGCACATTGGCAAAATTTCTATCTGTCTTTTACAAAGACCATACTAGGACTACACATATACTACATTGATAGATTATGACATCCTAGGCTCTTGAGAAGAACTCAATGTGTAGGAAGTCCAACAACAGCTAAAAAACTGCCAGCTGTGATTTCATGTTGCATACAATAACAACAGCAACTTCAATACTCTTCATAGGCAAGATGTAATTGAAGTTTACAATGGTTAGATAGTGCCTTAAGTTTGGGTGTATCTTCTCGATTAATATTTATTGTCTTAGGTGTGATAAAGAGCTTAACTTGTCATAATTTAAATTATGAACTAACCAGGGAGAAAAATATTGAACCTATGTTAACCAGTATATTGAGGAGCCTCGGTGGCGCAGTGGTTAGAGTGCAGTACTGCAAGCTACTCCTACTGCAATATGGCAGATCGAATCCCACCAGGCTCAAGGTTGACTCAGCCTTCCATCCTTCCGAGGTGGGTAAAATGAAGACCCATATTGTTGGGGGCAATATGCTGACTCTGTAAACTGCTTTGAGAGGCCTGTAAAGCACTATAAAGCGGTATATAAGTCTAAGTGCTATTGCTATATTGAACTAAAAGTGTTTTCATTGATGCATGGATGCATTTGAATTCTTCAAATATTTTGTTATTATGTTATGTTAGCTCTTATATACCATTTTACTTAATCAGGTTTAAAAAAACCCTACACTGTTTAGGATTTTGTCTCCACAGTAACTAAAGAGATGTTTGTGGGAAGCCTTATGCATTCTTCAGTATTCTTCTGTTTCTAAAAGCTAATTCCCAACTGTTTTTAGTTGTCAGTGGATTAATTGTTTCAAATCTGTTCATCATTCCTGAGCCAGGTAAATGCTTATAATAAATATAAGACTTATTTATGTTTAATAACTTTTATTTATTCTTTTGTGTTTCTATTAGGTATAAATGATCAAGGACTGTATAGAGTTGTCGGGGTGAGTTCAAAAGTCCAGAGACTTCTGAATTTGTTGATGGGTATGCTCATTTTTAAAATCTGCTTCTATCATTATATATGTATATTTCCTTTTTATGTTGTTTTCAATTTTTAGTTTTCTCTTTAAGTCATGTCAAGATAGGAAAGCAATGATGTTGGGAATTGGCTTTTTTAACGGACATTGAGGGCATAATTTAATACAAAGCTTTAATACAAAGTTCCCATTATGCCCTTTAATTCATCAAAGTAAAAAAAAAATCTGAAAATATATGAAAATCTGAAAGATTTAAGATATTTGCAGTTTGTTCAAGGTTTTTCCTTAATTATGAGGGGACAAAATTCTGATGAAATGAAAACAGTATATTTAGATATTTTTAAAGTAGATAAAAGGATAGTTTTAACATATTGAAATTTTTCTCATTTCAGTGCAAATGTATATGTCTGTATGTGTTTAATCCTTATTTTGAGTTCTAGTGATTTTTCTTGGAAATTATACTCATCCCTTTGATAACATTTTCATTTAATTCTGACACAAATATATGGCATCTATATTGTTATGAGTGTTCATCTGTCTACTACCCAACCCCACCGTAATAGTCAACACTGCAAATTTTTCATATTTCTTGTGCACAGCTTTTGGCAGTACATGAAATCATATCAGACTACCTGGATTACTCTAAAAAAACAATAATAAAAAAGACTACCTGGATTACTTGAGCTTTCTGTGTCTTCCAAACCTGTCGTTTGATAGAATCTCAAGGATTCATTGATATTCAGAGAAGCTAGTTTGCAATAGGCTCCTCTCCAGGAGCATGTAGCTCCATCTGTGCTGATAACACAGTGTTCTTTGGCAGATAAAACTAGAGGAAACTAGCAAATGAATTCATCTCATTACCTCAGACATTATGTGGATGGCAAAGTACTTTATTTTACTGTATGCACTGTTGTCAAATCCTTGCCACTTGTATGATGCTGAGTGTCTCTGCTGAAAATATGACAGATATTATACAGAATACTGTCTTGTTTGCCATATTAATTTGTCAAGATGATCTGACTGATTATTAATTAACTATCTTTAATTGGTATCAGCAATTAAAGCAATTGACTTAAGAAAGCTACCTCAATATTTCTTATAGCTTCAGGAAGAATTAGGAAGTAAAAGAAAGAAGCTATTGAAACAAAGTGCATGAATCCTATTATGGAAATCCATAAAACCCAACTTAATCTACTGTTTTGTTGGAGAAAGTTATTAAAACAGTTTAAATTTAAATAGCTGATGGCAATTCCAGTTTAGTACAGTGGTTTAATGCATAGGATACAGAATAGAAGACCATGAATTCAGATTTTACCTTAGGCTCAAAGTCAGCTGGGTGACCTTTGGCCAATCTCTCTCAGTCCTCGGAAGTAGGCAAAGGCAAACCACTTCTGAAAAAGAAAACTTCAGGAACTAATCCAGGCAATTGCAAGGAATCAACACTGATTTGAAGTCACACACCCCCAAAATCTTTTTATATACATATTATAGAATGCAGTCTACTTCCTTGTATTTTGTTGTATATGCATCAAATAGAAGCTTATTGGGTTCTATTTTATAAAGAATATTAGCCACTATCCTATGGCCTTTGTCTGAGATCCATGCTTCTTAGGTTATTCATTTTTTAAGCTTGTTTTTTATGGAAAAGCAGGAAACGAAAACCTATTCTGCTACTGCATCATGTTTCAGCACATTGTTCTGCCTTACAAAAACTTACCTGGATAGGTATGCAATCATAAGACCTCATTTCCGAAATTGTGATCCTTGGGCTTAGCAAGATTTGCAAGAGGAAAGGAATGTTGTGAGAAAGCAAAAATAAAGTTGGGGATAGAAAATGCATAAAACAGATGTGCAGGTTTAAATAATTTATCTACAAAAAAGAATATTACAGTTAAAAGAATTAAATGGATCTGATTGTTAGAAAAATACTGTAACATTCTTCATAAGTGTCTCAGTCACTGCATATGAGAGTTTTGAACATGGACTACCGTACAACCTTGTCAGGAGCTTCTTACCGCTGAGGACATTTTTATATTTATTAAATTTATTTGCCGCTCATTTTACCGTGGGGCTACTCTGGAAAGCTTACAACAATAAAATGGGAAAAAAACATGTAAAAATAACAATAGTAAAGCAACAAAAGCATAAATGTAAACAGTTCTACAGCAAATGGAAGTTCTATAGCAAAGAAGCAAGCTAATGAGAACATCTTGGCTGAAAATTCCATTCATTATCAAAATCTTGCAAGTGAGAAACACCTTGACTGTTTTTTGTGACTTAAGATAGGTGTGATTCTCTATGCTAGTCTAGTTGTTTCATGGGATCTAATATACAGTGTAGTAAGAACCTGCACTTTGACCTCCAGTTACTTAGTTGCCTAGTTTTAAGGCCTGACTTTTTAGAGTGGTGTTGAAGAAGCTGTATCAAATATTAGACATTTTGCAAAGACTAACTGTAGTTTTCTTTTATACTCTAAAGTGGCCTCACTTCAGTCTCTTTATCTATACTATATTTGGGATCTTAGTGGATGGCCACTGAATCTTGGAATTTTATGCCTGCAAGAAAGTCTTTTTGTGATATACAACAGATATTTGTCTGTTCTGGATTGATAAAATAATCTCTCTTTTGTCTGATGGATAAAAGAGATGTATCAATAATATCAATATTTATTAATTTAATTGACAAAATTGACAAAATATTGTAACAAGCCAAAATCATAGAGTCCATGAGAAATCACTCTACTAACTAGTTTGATTTCTGCAGTCCTGGTGTCTTCCAGACAAGGGAGCATTCAGCATTACATATTAAATGTTTGACTTCAAAATGTTACTTCGTTTGATATTATTATTGCTTTTCATTCTGTATTAATGAGTGCCATTTGTCCCAAAATATAAGTATTTTATACCAGAATGTAATATAAGCCTGCTAATAACCCAAACATAATGCACAGAGATCACAACAGACAATAGGTGTAAATTTGATTTTTGAAATGGTCTTTTCTGTACTTGTACAATTTCCCCATTATTTTCTAGTTTCTACTTCTTATGCATAGAAAATAAGAAAAAGAATCTTGTCTTAATTTTCTTCATTAACAGAACTTTATGATTTGATTTATTGATACTTTCATAAGTTCAGTTATGCTGTATGGTATCTGGAATCTAAATTATAACTGATCAAAGTTACCTGCTTATGTGTATTTTCTAGATGCAAAAACATGTGATGAAGTTGATTTGGAAGGTAATACAGAATGGGAAGTGAAGACAATAACAAGTACAGTGAAACAATACTTAAGGTACTATTAAATATGTTATATTTTTATAATTTAATTGAAATTACAACAGATGGTGAATGTTATGTGAAAAATGAAAATATAAATAATTTTAGGAAGCATGTAGAATATTATTTCTGGAATTCCTTCCAATCCTTTAAAACAGGAATGTCAAACTTTCGTTGTCATGGCAGTGTCAAGTGACATATCAGACTTTGTTTCCCTTTACTAAACGTGGCTACCACGTGAAATATCTGGCCCATGGGCTGCGATTTTGACAGACCTGCTTTAAAATCTGTTCCATGCCAGATGACCTGAAATGACCTGGGAGTAGTTTAGAATGGAGGGATCAGCAACATGTCAAGCTGCTGAAAGTTGTCCTTTTTGTAGCAATGCATATGGGCACATTTTTCTCTATAGCCTCAGCTGGTTTATTGACACAATATTTCTTTTGGCTTATTCTGCCACCCCCAGTTTGGTTGTTCTCCTGCCCTGTGGTTATAGAGTTACACTGTTAATGGATAGACAGACACTCAAGCTCCTTTACATAATTTTCTTTTCAACACTCCTTTGGTTTAGAAAGAAAAAGAAGTGTATTGTAATTTTCAGAGTGCAATCTGTGCAAATAGACATAATAAACTTTTGTTTTGAAAAAACCAAATCCTTTAAAGAATCAATTGTTTCCTGTATGATAATCATACCTTTATTTTTACCTGGCTCTGGTGGCAAATACTCCAAGGTTTTCTTCATGTGCAATGTGGAATACAACCCAGATAAATATTTCATGGAATGATTATTTTTCCCATTTTTTATAAAAAGCATCCTATGTAGAATGTTAAACAGTGCAAAATTAAAATGAATGCATTGTGTTATGATAAAATAGACAGTTTCCCTCCCTTTTAGAATGTTTGTATTTAAACTTGATTGTACATTTAAATGATCTTTTTTCTCCTTAATTATTCCAATGTTTTTGTTTTAACAGAAGCCTGCCAGAGCCCTTAATGACGTATGAATTACATGGAGAGTTCATCACTCCTGCTAGTAAATACATGACATATCATACTTTTATTTCTTTTAAAATAATAATTATTGGAAATCAGGGAAATTCAGTTAGGTAACTCAAAATCTTTTCCAAAAATCATTGTATATTTCTGGTCCTCCTACAAATGCATGCAGTATTCAAAATGTTAAAAACTTTCTACATAGTACAACAACTTCACTGCAAGCTATTATACAATCTATATATTCCAATTCATATATAAAAACTTAAGTGTATTGGGCTAAATACAAGGATATTGCAACACGTGTTAGCATCTTACGAAAATGGACAATGAGAAAACTGGGTGTAACCTCCCAGAATGTAATGCAGTTGAATTACATAGAAGCTTGAACTTTATGTTAAGAATCTTTCTTAAAAACTGTCAGCATAACCATATTTAACTAAAGAAGAATTATTTTATGATTGAGGTTCCCCCCCCCCCCTCAGAAAATCCATATTGTACTGGAGGGGGAAAAATGACCTAGATATTGATTGGCCAATTGTGACTTTAACTTAAAATGCCCAATTACAATACTCAAATATTTAAACCTATCTTTTATGAGAAAAGAAATATTATCAGTTTCACTACGACAGTAACTTTTTCAAGGGGAAGGCTAAAGAGGTTTATGACTTAAAGTAGCAGAGGGACAGCAAGGAAGGGAGCAGAATATACAATGATTTAAAAGAGAAAGGAACCTGAGGCACTGTACTTGAAGAAAGAAATATATATAAAAAGAAGGATCTATAAAAGACATAATTGAAGGACTCTATGAGGATTTAAGCTTGTAGCTTGCTTGGAGGAAGAAGGTCGAGCTGGAAAAGAAATAATGATACTAAAGGATATGGGAGATAAATGGTTGCAGTAAATAGTGTGTGTATTCACTTTTTTATTTTATTTTAATGCTGCTTGTTTCACGATCAAATGACTCTTGCCACCTAATTGTTTAGAAATCCTCATAGGTTTAGCAAACCTAATTTTTTTACCATATTTGTGCATCATTTCATTTCCATTATGCCCCATGTGAGGCTGTGACATGTCTGTATTATCTCAATGTAATGCAGTACAGCAAATTGTTTAAATATTATAGCCAGGGTGGTTTTCAGGAAGTGGAACTGATGCTTAGTTGTATATTAAGGAAGATCATAAACAAGACCAAGAGAATAAAAAGCTACCTTCTTATGATAAATGTTTCCTAACATCTGGGGAGATAAAAAAAGTATCAAATAGGATTTCACTTCATATCTTTAAAGATGCACAGATAGCAAAAAAGAAAATTAAAATGTTTGTACATAATTTTACATTGTGCCAAGTGCATAACTACAAATTATTGTTTTTTCTTTTATGTAGAAAGTGGTAGCCCTGAGTCCCGTATTAAAGTTATCCACTCCTTGGTTCATAAACTTCCAGAAAAGAACAAAGAAATGCTTGATATTGTTGTGAAGCACTTAGCAAAGTAAGCATCTTGTATGCTAGCTTGATATTTAATTTTTTTCTTTGCAGTTCCTGAAGGCTGATTATGTTTGGAGATGTATTTTTATATTTCATATAAACAGCAAAAACAAATGTTTGCTGTTTTCCCTGTTGTATACTGTATAACTATTTTAGTAAAATTTAATCTGGATGGATGGATACATGATTGATTGATTGTCTATCTGTCTGTCTGTCTGTCTATCTATCCTCTGCATTAACAGTGCTTAATCTGTCAGGGTGGCCATCTGTTTATCTGATATATGCCCACCCTTATGGATTAAGCACTGTTAATGTAGAGGAAAATATTAAGAAATAGCTAAGATAATAAGAGGCATTAGAGAAAGAAAAGAAACATAGCCCAAATCATTGCCATTTATACCAATATTCATTTTGTATACCGTTCCATACAGCCACCTCAATGTACATCTTTCATGCTAGTAATTTAGTTTTGTGTTCAGTCTATGTTTATTCAGCATTGGTGCCCCTTTCTTGTTTTACAACATACCATATTTTTCGGAGTATAAGACTTACTTTTTTCACCCCCAAAAGTGATAATGTCTGTGCGCCTTATACATGTTATGTATAATGAATGTTGCCGAAGCCCCGCCCACCCACCAGTCCCCACCCTTCAGCCTCTGCCTCCCAGCAATTTGCTTCATTGCAGCAAACAGCCTGGTCAGCTTCAGCACAGCCTGATTAGCATGAGCAGCTGATTGTCGGTAGGATTGGCCCCCGGCGATCAGCTGTTTCAGGCTGCAGGGATTGCCATCGCCTATTGCCGCCTCTGTGCACCCCATTTTCAACCTCCACACTTTTTGGTTTCCATGTGCCCCATTTTCTGCCCATTCCAGGTGGTGGGGATTGGAACGGGCAGAAAATGGCATCCAAGGAGGCCGAAAATGGGGCGCGCAGAGGCAGCATAGGCGATGGCAATCCCTGTAGCCTGAAACAGCTGATTGTCAGGAGGCGGATCCTACCGACAATCAGCTGCTTGAGCTAATCAGGCTATGCTGAAGCTGACCAGGCTGTTTGCTGCAAGGAGGCAAATTGCTGGGAGCCAGAGGCAGATTTTTTTTTCCTCCTCAAAAGCTAGGTGCGTCTTATACTTCGGAGCATCTTATACTCCGAAAAATACAGTATGTCTTAACTTGATTTTCAGTATTTTAATTTTTAAATCTCTGCATCTAATTATTTGATTTATGTAATAATCATTGCAAATAATTGACGAACTAACAAACAACAACAAGGTCTCCTCACAAAACAACACTGTTCTAATGAAAACACAAACATTTCCTTATATAATTATTGCCTAAAAAGCCAAGAAAAGATCACACATTTGTGTCTTAATCTCTGCTCACTGCTAAACGTTTTGCTAAGCATTTTGTTTATTCTTATACAAGCTTACATTCCACTGAGTATACTGCTCTTGCTGTACTCAGCAACAGACATTCAGCTCAATGTTCAGATATTTCCAGTACTTTCTTTGACTACATTATTTGGGTTTGGGGTTTTTTTTGTCTATACATGTCATTCAATATCTTTTTTATTTTATACAGCTTTTATTCTCTTAAGCACTTCTGTTTACCTTTTCCACACAGATTCCCTACTTTTTGCTCTGATTCTTTTTCATATAGAAACTCTTCTTCCTGCGAACAATCTACTTTTGTGGGTTTTTTTTTAAATTTAATCTCTTTCCTTTGCTTCCATGTCCATTTTACTCAATATGTGACATTGTCAAAATGAAAATGCAGTCTGTATCACATGCATGCTTAATTAATTTTAAAGTACTTTATGATGCAGTATCAGGTATATTTGGTAACATCGTTCCAGAATTGAATCTGCTTACCCAAGCCACATATCTGGGGAGACCTGTTGAGAATATCCCTGTCTTCAAAAAGCACAAGTCTTTTCCATAATAGTAGACTACCTTTAGCCCAACACTGCATGAACTCCCTATCCTGATAAATTCGGCAAATAAATACAAATTTTGTTGTTCTATCAAACCTGTTCTCCTGTTTGTTGGATCAGTTGATGATACTGTTCATAAGCATTGCTTTGAGAATTGGATTTTGTTGAATTTTTTAAAGTTTTTGTTGTGTCCTGGTATATTGTTTAGACTATCTGGAGATTGAAGCACACCATAAATAAACCTCTTTTTTGGGTAAACCTCTCTATGAATCACCACCATTATTTCTTTATCATTGGAATTAGTACTGCTGCACCACTCAAAATCTTAGCAGGTGAATCTCAGATAAAAAAAACTCATCATTTCCACTCAACTGTGTCTTGTTGGTATGCACCAGTTTTTCTTACTGTTTCTCATTCATGCCATGTTATTTCAAATAGACTTGGAATCCACGTGCGACCATATCCAGGGAATAGCCAGTGGATTAGAAAAACAGACTGGCATCACATTGGTTATCTCTTTTCTTGTATAATATTCAATTCAGTGCCTCCTGTCATTTATTCCTCAACTATTTTCATAATCACTTCTTGCTTTCTCAGATTCTTCTCCAATTACATAATTTTGAATAGAAAAACTTTGGTAGAAAAACTTTAGTAGCTGCCCAATTAAGTCTTGCTTCCCTTTTTGAACTTAACCGTATAATATTTGCTGTACTTCATCCATTTTACTTCCTTTACCTATTGTTTCTCTTTTTCTCTTCCTGAAGATTTCTCAGTTGGGCCACTTTCACTCCAGAGAGGAAGGAATAGGAATTTTCCCAGCCACACCAAAAGCATGAGAAAAGTTTTTTCATTTTTCCAAAAAAATTACCAGCAATGGATACGTTTCTCTTTCCATTTTACTTTTTAATTGAGGTTTATTTTCAAGTTTATCTTTAATCTTTATTTCAAGTTCCTTATTATTTGCTACTCTTAAATTCCAAGTCAGTGTCTTCCATATGCCATGGTTGTCTCTTATCATGGGCCATAGAAATTGTTTTCCATAACTCATTATGACTCTAGTCAGATACATAGTTCTTGTATGAAAACAGTAATTGGGAAAGGAATTTCTCTTGTGCAGTTATCTGGATATCATATCACCATGGTGCTTAGCCATGGCAATTTGAGCTGTCCTTGGCTAATATCGCTGCAGGTTGTTATTCAGGGATCTCACTTAACTTCCATCTTCCTGCCCTACTGACCTTATTTGGAAGCTGGCAGGTAAGATCACAAATCATAATTACATAACTCCAGGTTCACTGTGATGGCCAGAACTTCAAGAACTGGTCATGAATTCCAGTTGTTCAGCACTGTTGTAAGTTTGAACAATCGCTAAACCCGTGGTCATTAAGGCTGACCTATATTCTCAACTTAATTGCACGTGTGTTCCATACAGCATTCCCTGATACATATAAAGGCAGTACCTTTTTTTTTTTTTTGACAACATTATGACTGATAAGCCACAGGGCAACCAGACTCTAAACATGTTGTTTACAATATACAATGTTGCTCCTATTTCTGATCTGGAGACTAATTTGCAAGCTAAATACTATTGCCTACCTACATTTTACATGGTGCTGCATGCAATATAAGAATACACAAATCAGGATGTAATCTGTTATCTCAGTATTGCTTTTAATTAAAGTAAAAATGTTTTTACCTCAGAATGATATAAAATAATTGCTAGTATTTAGTAACAACTTTTTTTTGAGTGGGATAAAAAAAATTGTTTTTGTTTTGTTAGTATTTTTTAATAATAGTTTGAAATTTTAGGTACTTCATATATCAAATGAGGTTTATTGTTTTAAGAAGAGAGAAGAAATCCACAAATCTATCCTGAATGGTTGCAAAAGTTCAATGGTTGAAGGAAATGTAATTTTATTTTTTCACTTTGAAGTAAACATCTTCACAATGCTGGCTGTTTTTTGTTTCTTTCTGTTTTTGAAAAGTGTTTCCGATCATGCTAAGAAAAATCTTATGACTGTGGCAAATTTAGGAGTTGTATTTGGACCAACATTAATGAGGCCACAGGAAGAAACAGTGGCTGGTCTTATGGATCTGAAATTTCAGAACATTGTGGTGGAGATCCTAATTGAAAACCATGAAAAGGTAAGTATGGAAAGTGGAAAAGAGATCTGATATAAAATTCCTGTGAGATAATTTATGATTTTCTCAACTTCCATACTTCCATAACATAGGAAGCAGAATCATCTTAATTTTAGTAATTTTCAGGATTTATAAGGAGGAAGTGACATTTTCAGCCTGCGTAAGAATTATGAAATTCACTTCGACCTTTAAATCTTCCCCATTCATTTCCCTGTGAAAAACACTGCAGTGGTTATTTTTAAAATTCCACTCTCTTGGGAGCATAAAAAAGGATGCTGATGGTTCTTATTTCTTACTGTAGCTAGATTGGCAGAATCTTTACATTCTCTTTTGTAGAAAAATGGAAAATGTGTATGGAAAGGGAAGGAGATGGACTATACTATCAGTGTCTAATAAAGAGGATGGCTGCTTGATTACGTGAACTTTTTTCTGCATTGCTTCCTTGTGGGATGTACAGGTGAAACTCGAAAAATTAGAATATCATGCAAAAGTTCATTTATTTCAGTAATGCAACTTAAAAGGTGAACCTAATATATGAGATAGACTCATTACATGCAAAGCAAGATAGTTTGTCATAATTGAGATGATTATGGCTTACAGCTCATGAAAACCCCAAATCCACAATGTCAGAAAATTAGAATATTACGTGCAGTCAATAAAACAAGGATTGTACATAGAACAATATCGGACCTCTGAAAAGTATAAGCATGCATATGTACTCAGTACTTGGTTTGGGCCCCTTTTGCAGCAATTACTGCCTCAATACGGCGTGGCATGGAAGCTATCAGCCTGTGGCACTACTGAAGTGTTATGGAAGACCAGGATGCTTCAGTAGTGGCCTTCAGCTCTTCTGCATTGTTCGGTCTCATGTCTCTCATCTTTCTCTTGGCAATGCCCCATAGATTCTCTATGGGGTTCAGGTCAGGTGAGTTTGCTGGCCAATCAAGCACAGTAATCCCACGGTCATTGAATCAGGTTTTGGTGCTTTTGGCAGTGTGGGCAGGTGCCAAGTTCTGCTGGAAAATGAAGTCAGCATTCCCATAAACCTCGCCTGTGGAAGGATCTCCTGGTAGATGGCTGCGTTGACCCTGGACTTAATGAAGCACAGTGGACCAACACCACCAGATGACATGGCTCCCCAAATCAACACAGACTGTGGAAACTTAACACTGGACTTCTAGCATCTTGCAGTGTGTCCCTCTCCATTCTTCCTCCAGACTCTGGGTCCTTGGTTTCCAAATGAGATGCAAAAGTTGCTCTCATCAGAAAAGAGGACCACTGAGCAACCAGACCAGTTCTATTTTTCTTTAGCCGAAGTAAGATGCTTCTGACATTGTTTGTTGTTCAGGAACGGCTTGACAAAGAGGAATACGACATTTGAAGCCCATGTCCAGGATCCGTCTGTGTGTGGTGGCTCTTGATGCACTGACTCCAGCCTCAGTCCACTCCTTGTGAAAGTCCCCAACCCTTTTGAATGGCCTTTTCCTGACAATCCTCTCCAGGTTGCGGTCATCCCTGCTGCTTGTGCACCTTTTTCTTCCCCGCTTTTCCCTTCCACATAACTTTCTGTTCATGTGCTTTGATGCAGCACTTTGGGAACATCCAACTTCGTCTGCAATTCCCTTTTGAGGCTTTCCCTCCTTATGGAAGGGTGTCAGTGATGGTTTTCTGCACAACTGTCAGGTCAGCGGTCTTTCCCATGATTGTGATTCCTACAGAACCAGACTGAGAGACCATTTAAAGTCTCAGGAACCCTTTGCAGGTATTATGGCTTAATTAGATGATTAGAGTGGGACACTTTGAGCCTAGAATATTGCACCTTTTCACAATATTCTAATTTTCTGAGATTGTGGATTTGCGGTTTTCATGAGCTGTAAGCCATAATCATCTCAATTATGACAAATCACGGCTTGAACTATCTTGCTTTGCATGTAATGAGTCTATCTCATATATCAGTTTCACCTTTTAAGTTGCATTACTGAAATAAATGAACTTTTGCACAATATTCTAATTTTTCGGGTTTCACCTGTACATTACTTCCCAATTGTTTTGTTAATAAGTTTATTAATAAAATTTCTAGTCTGCAGTTAAAGCAGTTATACTAGCCTGATACATATAAACATTTTGGGAAAAGAATATATTTTGTCCCATTAATTTTCTGAAATGTTTAAAATAATATGGTTAAGTGCCTAATGACTACCCTATTCTCAAATCTGTAAATCTTTTTTTTCCTGTTTGACTTTATAATAGAACATATTTTTATCAGTCTGCGACTTCCTAGTATCTATGCCATTTATTTCTTCAGCTTATCTGCAGATAGTACCTATTAGAATTTTTCAAATATTTAGAGTTCTCTATTTTACTATTTTTTTCAAGGATGTATTTCAGTATTTAACTGCAACCTTTAAAAAGAAAGCTCTCCATTTGTATGCTCTATTTTTGTTTCATATATGAGAATTATGGCGTTAGGAGAAGTAGTGATTCTTTTCAAAGTTACCATCCCTCCAGTGCTACTTAATGGAAGAGTTTTCCTTGGAATGTTGATGCCACATAAAAATATTAAAATGCATAATCTGAATTAATGAGGTGAATGGAATGGAGAAACTAATTCATTTTGAACCCATCCCATCCTAGGATTTCTACTGAACCATTTTGGTCAGCCATTACCAGTTCCCAGTGTATGGTGGGAATAAGAGCATAATTTACCAGCTCACTCACTCCCCTCTTATCTTTTTAGTTATTTCACTTTTTTCTATCCCCTTAGCCACTGCTATTGCTCCTATGTGGAATATCACACCAGCCTGTCTCTTCCTGATCACAGTAGCCCCTTCTTTCCCCCTTTTTTTGCTACCAATATCTTCAGCTGTCTCCCCATCCCTAGCTAAGTTTTTCTGCCTGCAGCAAAACAGGGCGGGGGGGCACATAGAATCAGATAATGTCCATTGATTATTTAGGTTACTTGTGAAAAAAGAATACTATTTTGCACATGTTGAAACACTTGAAACATATTTAGATCTCAGCATGGATCATTCAAAACCAGCTGTTGTGCATAGAATATAGAAGATATTCCTACTCTGAATTTATATGGTAGAACAATCTACCAACTCTACCCTGATTAAATAGATTATAGCAGGAATGTCAAACTGGATTTCTTCGAGGCCGGATCAGCATTTCCGTTCTCTGCAGGCCGGTGACCAGGGACAAGGACGGCAGGGGGGCACGGATGCCTCTTGCAGCACCTACTGGCCAAAATGGGGAGCCAGGGGTTCACGCATGGGCCCCTTATGTCTCATTTTCCCCCCATGGTCTCCTCCAGCATTCTGCCGGCTGAAAACAGACTGTGTGACCAGTTTTCAGCCCATTTTTAACCCGTTTTGGGGGCTGTTTTGGGCCCATTTTTCAGTTTGTTTTGGGCCCACCTTTCAGCCCGGTTTTAGCCTGCAGAGTGCTGCAGGAGGCTATGGAGGGTGAAAACAAGGCATGGGGGGCTACACGTAGGCCATTTTAGCCACCAGAGGCACCATGGGCTGGTCCTTTGATAGTTCCAGGCCAGCCTCGCGGGCCGGATTTAAGCATCCTGTGGGCCGGATCCAGACAGCGGGCCTTGAGTTTGACATGCCTGGAATACAGGGTAGTAACTGAAAAAAAAAAAGTCTCAACGAAACTAAGGTGGATATAGTTAAGATTTGGTGCAGTAGACACATGGCAATTCAACGTTTGGCATATGTGAAAATAAAAAGTTGAAGACTTGTTTTCAAAATAAGTTGTCTTGTTGCAAAGTTGTCTCCGAATGCAAAACAATAGTTAGCTCCTGTGATATTCATTGATTCATAGTATATCAAATATTAACTGAATCTTGATAGATTCATCTAGACATGATACGAATAATTCAGTCACAAATTGATAATATTCATGAATCACTGATTTGGACAATGGTAAATCATCATTCATTTGCCCATAAGAGTTGTAACATTTCAGCAAAGGCTTAATAAACAAATGTTTCCAAGTGCCTTCATTGGTTCCTTCATTTCCACATTTTTAATTTAAAGATTGAAAATGTTTAATTGATTTAAGTTTTTATATTACTTTATAACTTTCATGTTTAAGGTTGCAGTCTCAATTTTTTAAATCTTTTCTAAAAAATAAAGATGCATATGAAAAAGAATGAAAACATATGGGTTTACTTCTATAGCCATACCATTATACTCCATCAAGGTTCTTAGAAGTATAACTTACATGTATTAATGTCTTTAAATCATTTTATGTTTCTACTGTTGCTTCTGCACTTGCCAGAAAGTGTCAGCTTGTTCAGTTGACTCCTCTCTCCCACACACACAGTCCTGCTGCTTTCCAGACTGGCAAAAAGCTTGCTTTCAGTACAGTGGAAATTCTACTAGATTCCTTATAGTCAGACTGGCAGACAGATGTCTGTGGAAGCATCACATCAAGAGAGGCTTAGAATGTTTCACTTGTATCAATTTATTTTTATTTCCTACGTACATGTAATAACAGAGAGGTGGCAGTATAAGCAAATGTATTTTCCACTGGTCTTATTTTATTATAGTAAAAAAATTCTCCTTTTTCTTGGCAATCTAAAACAAATCTGCCTTCCTTCCTTCCTTCGACATAAAATTAGTTAATGATAATATGTATAACTGACCATTTTTATTATTGTAAATATTACATGCATTATAGTACTAATCTTTAATGCTGCCTTAAATTCTCCATATCCCAACACCCAATATTGAGATTCAAAGTTGTGATTTAATCTAATGAGATTATCTATAATTGTTATGGCTGCCATGATGGATGGGGAATGGTTTTCCATGTGGGTTTTTATTTTATGATGTAAGCCGTCCAGAGTCACCTATTTGTGAGTTGGAATGCTGTATAAACTTAATAAATATGTACACATGCATACATGCATGCATGCATGCATACATGTGAGAATAGTTCATCACAGAGTTATGTTTTTAATTCCAATGCCATATTATTTTTGGAGA